ATATTTTTCATCATGAAGTACTTTTTAAATTGGAATAATAAACTATGGAGAAGTGTGGTATCCTCTAATACACATACATAGAAAAGCCAGTATTGTCAATAATATATTGTGTATATGTGTGTGTGTGTGTGTGTGTGCATGTGTATGTATACAATGTAATATATATATGTATGTAATGTAATGTATGAATGTAAGGTGAGCATATTGTTAAAAAAAATAGTTCTTTGGTCCAATGATTACATGTATTCTATATTTAGCTTGTTGCTTACAAAAGTTAAATATATTAAATGCACATAAGCAATGGCTTTTTAAATTCAAAAGTCCGTAAACTTATTTAGACAGTTTACAAGGCATGCTACCAAAAATGAATTAAAACTAAATTAACTTGTAAAGTTCACATCTTCTAAAACTAGAATAAAAAGACTTAAGACCTGCTAGCTTATTATAGATAACTTATTTCAGATATGAGTTTGAATTTATAATATTTACTTTAAAATGGAATAAGAAATCACACAAGAGTAGTTTGATGACAGCATATGCAGATTATTTTCCTTATTTTATCAGTACATTATTTTAACTCTGTAGGATATCATGGACATAAAGGCTCCCAAATTCATCATCACCCATTACAGCCTTTAACATTGCCCCCAAAAATTCTAGAGCTAAAGAGAACAATGCTTGAACTATAAAGGCATGTCTTTAACATGGCTTTCCGTGAGGCTTGAGTAGCCAGTGGATTGAGGATTTGAGTCCATGGCTACAGTTAATTAGACATTATTTTGTAACATTTTTATAAATAATCTTTTCTTCTTCTTTCCCCTTTTCTAGGAGGCTGCTATTGCTTTGTATCAGCTGCCCAGTTTAGAGAGGAGGAATTCTTTCTTTTACCTTCTCAGATAGCTTTTTCTGACTTCTTGACTGCATGATCAGCTACGAAACACTCGAGCATTTTTCATCCTAAAAGTCTTTCTAACACTGTTTCTTTTTTTTTTTTTTAACTCTGCTCACCTTCATAGAAAACCTTCTTACAAGCATTAAATAAACATGGAATCTAAACCTCCTCACCTCACATAAAATCCTCAGCCCACTCCTACCTAATTTCTCTCTCAGCCACTTCAGCAAAGCTGTATGTATGAAGGACACTTCACATCTCTTTCCATTGAGTTCCGCTGACCTCTCAGCAGCATCTGAAGTGGCAAATGAGATTTACAGCTTTTCTTCTTGAAAGATGATTCTCTCTTAGCTTCCAAGATACTACAGTCTTCTCTTTTGCCAGGAACTCGACATCTTTGTCTCAGAGGGAGGGGGTAGGGGCTGCTGTGGTTTCCTCTTCCTGTACAATATCTTAGTTCCTTGAGACTCAGTTCTTCATCCTCTACTCAGTTACCCAAGAAGTACTCCTTGAATACCTGTGCTGTGCCAGTCACCCTTCTAGGTACCAGGGAGACATCTATGAGTATTTTAGATGTCGACTCCTTTTCATAGAGCTTAGGCATTACTCAATGTCTAATTTTATCCTCACCCAGGTTTCAGATACCATTCACCTGTTAACCTGTTAACATAATAATATATATTTCCAATCTATGGCTATCTTCTCATCTTTATACACAATCATATAACTACTACTTGACATTTCAAACGTAAAGACCACCAAACTGATCTTATGTTTGATCCTATTCTCCAAATCCTGCTCCTCAAATTCTTTATCCTGAGAGATGATGCCAACAGTGTTCCCACTATCCAAGCAAGAAACTCAAAGTCATCAATATCTACTGAATACAATATGTTACACGTGTAAGGTTAACCTACATCTACACTGTGTCCAGAATTTACTCACAGTTCTCTTTTGCTCCTGCTATCACTTTTTTCCAAGTGTTCTATTCACCCATCTCTTCCTTTCACCATCTGAGCTAGATTAATCTGTCTGTAATGTCTATCTACTCATATAGCATCCCTGCTTCAAATGATTTCTTATTGCTTCTAAGAACTTTTTTTAAGATTGTTTATGTCATTTTCAGAAGACTTTGGATTATCTGGGCCACAAATCCCTCTTCATCCTTATTTTTGTTCACACTTCCAGGTTCTCTTCAACCATGTTTTATCTACTTCCCTGGCAGAGGCCACTTTTATATATGACACTTTCCTTGGAAGACTCATTTCTTCTAAGTTTCTTTTGGAAAGGGACTTTCTAAGGAACTGTTCTCGAACTCCACCCTCTCACAAGTTAGGTACAAGTGCCAAACCCCTTCATGTAGCATACAGCACGAGCACATCTATTAGTTGCAATTATTTGGTCATTATTCTAACCCTAGGCTTTATGCCTACCTTCCCTACTAGATTGTAAAGTCCCTGAGGGCAGAGGCCAGTCTGTATTTTTCACAGGTCATTCCTCTGAACCCATGTCTGTCCTTCTCACAAAGTAAGACCCCAATAAATATCTGGAACAAATGAATGAATCTTAATATAACAGGACCAGAAGAAACTACCTTAGAGATAAAGAAATGCATATCTAGGGAAATTAAGTAACAAGAGCTAAGCTGAAATTATAAACCATAATTCTTTTCACTTATCTTCTAGGTACTGCCCACAATCTGATTCTGAAACTCAAACAAAATATGTTTTATAGTAAATGTAACATAATATATCTTAGGTATTTTTTTGCCTGTATATGTATGTGTGTGTCTATATATGTATGTATATATGTATATACATATATTCTTATTTACCCTTTTGTCCATACTTACTTTTGGTTTTTATTAACAACGATTACGTTAAGATTTTATTTATTTATTAGAAAGAGAGAGAGAGCACACACAAGCAGGGGGAGCAGCAGAGGGTAGGGAGAAGCAGACTCCCTGATGAGCTGGGGGCCTGATAAGGGGCTCAATCCCAGGACCCCAGAATCATGACCTAAGCCAAAGGCAGACGTTCTACTGACTGAGCCACCCAGGCATCCTTCAAAAATGATTTTTTATAAAAAATAACAGGGACTCTGGAAGTAACCTACCTAAAGTCTATTTTTTTCACAATCTATTACCTATAAAATGTTACTAAAATGTTGTCTTCCAACTTCATGCAAGATTAATTTTATCTTGATAAAAATAATTATTTTTCCCCACACATATGAACTGAATTAAAGATTAAAGAAAATGGAGTTCACTACTGCAATCCTCCTTTGAAGATTCTGCTTCAGATTTAGAATCATATTTATATCATGTTGCTGATATCTGCATAGAGGATAATTACTGCAAAAATAAGATGTATTTGTAGAGGTAGTTACTGATGTTTAAAACTAACAGAGGCAATGAACTTGATAGTATATTCAACCATTACTCTTAGGTGTATCATCTTATTAAGGGTATTGGATTTGTCATATGACTAAAGTAGATCTGACCTTGAAACAGATCCCTTAACCTTCCAAATTTACATCTGTAAAATGAGTATAATTCTTCCTTGTTCAATTCAGATTCAGAGATATACAAATGAGATAATGAGATAACAAATGCACAAATACTTTGTAAATTTTTTAAAATTCCATTACAACATATCAGTATTAGTCCTAGATGCTCCCAGCTTCCTAATTTCAAATTGTAATTGGAAGCACTTATTAATTAATATGAGCAATACAAAGCCAAATATCAATTACTTTTAACCAATAGTAATATACATATAACCAATAGTAATTATTATTATTATTATTTTAGATTTATTTATTTATTTATTTGACAGACAGAGATCACAAGTAGGCAGAGAGGCAGACAGAGAGAGAGAGAGAGAGGGGGAAGCAGGCTCCCTGCTGAGCAGAGAGCCCGATGCGGGGCTCTATCCTAGGAGTCTGGGATCATGACCTGAGCCGAAGGCAGAGGCCTTAACCCACTGAGCCACCCAGGTGCCCCAATAGTAATTATTTTTTAACAGAAAGATTAAGTGTATAAAGATGCTTTCAATTTGGAAAAAAAGATGTACTATGTCACAAACTCATAATAATGAGATTAATATCAGTTTGAACTCACAAGAGGGCTAAAGAGCATGTCTGAACTAACACACTTTATTTTTTCCCAGTCTCAACAGTGTTATGTAACAATACAGACACTCTAATATAATATGACTTCAATAAGTCACGCTTATGAATATGCTGCTCTCATCTCTACATATATACATATGAAGAGTATATGTATATTGCATATATGCATACATGTATGTATAAAATTCATCAGTAAATGTTACATATTATATTTAAAGGAATGATGGATGTTAAAATATGATCCATGTGACAACTTACAGAGTTAAATATGACAATGAATCTGGACAAATTCTTGCATCTTTACCTCTATAGCATGTATCTGAAAAAAATTTAATATCCTTCCTGTGGACTTTTATAGCATCACTAGCATATAATGATGCAAGCACTGTTACTTAATAAAGATAGAATTCACCAGTGCACTGTGAATACTGATGTCAAGTGTCTTGAAATATTGTGAGCCTCCTTGAAACCCTAGTTATACTTTTTTTCTGGGGTACATCTGTAGTTTTTCTGCCTCACCATGTGATTGAGTCTGTATTTCCAAAATCAACTGGCTTGATCAGTCATGGATGGGCTTATCATTATCCTTGACCACATTTTTCCAAAGGTGAAGGACCAGCCTCCATGTGTTTGGTAGAGACATCTTCTTTGCAAAAGATTTTCTGGACTTAATAGAAATCTTTCATGTTGGATTTTGATACTTCATTCTTACCCTCCATCCCCTCTTTCTGTTCTCTCCCCATCCCTTCGACTACCAAAGCTGTCAAAGTGCATTTACCAGCTAACTGATACCCCATGGCAAGAACAATTTGAGAAATCTTGAGTAAGACATGTCACAATAACCATGATTAGAAGTCAGGATTTACACTTCCTTCTATAAAATTATGTTTTCAGTATTAAGAAAAATTCCAGAGGAGTTTATAAAAAGATGATATCATATGTATAGCCACCTAAGAAAGTACATAGTTTTGCTTACCTTTAATAATGTTTGGCTTTGGTGGCATGCTGAACTCATAGACTGTTGGTTCTGAATATCCCAATCTATTGGCAGCTGTAATTTGAACTTCATACCCCATTGTCCACTGTAGATGCTCCAAAATAATGTGGTCTTTATTTCCCTGCACTTTTTTCTCTAGCCACTGATCTTCTTTATCTTTCTGTAGGAGCAATAAGATATATTTTGTAAATACATTGAAGTTATGATTTTTAAAAAATATAATTTATCTTCAGGTAGAAAAAAGTGATTTTATTAATTTCAAAAAATGACATTTTATCATTTACAGGGATAAAGAAAGTTACTTTATCAATGAAGTCATTTCTAACAATTTTCTATAAAAATTCTGTATTTTTTTAAATTTTACCCAAAGAATGATTTCATAATTAATTTTTGATAATTCAGTGGTGATAATTCACCTTCATTAGGATTTTATTTTTATTTCACAGGTATCAATTTGCTGTTTGGCCATTTTTACATTATTAGTAGCCAGGTGGACAGAAAAAAATGAAACATAGTTTACAGAAAAAGCTTAGTATATCCATTAAAATAATTGCCAGACATTCTAACAATGTTTATTCTTCTGATCCATGAGCATAGAAGGTTTTTCCATCTTTTTGTGTCTTCTTCAATTTCCTTCATAAGAGTTCTATAGTGTCTAGAGTATAGATCCTTTTCCTCTTTGGTTAGGTTTATTCCAAGGCATCGTAAAGTTTTTGGTGTTATCATAATTGAAATCAATTCCCAAATTTCTCTTTCTACAGTTACATTGCTAGTGTATAGGAAAGCAACTGATTTCTGTGCATTGATTTTGTATCCTGTCATATTACTGAATTGCTATACGAGTTCTAGTAGTTTGGGAGTAGAGTCTTTTGGGTTTGCCACATAAAGTATCATGTCATCTGGGAAGAGAGAGAGTTTTACTTCTTCTTTGTCAATTTGAATACGTATTCTTTTATTTCTTTTGTTGTCTGATTGTTGTTGCTGGGATTTCCAGTACTCTGTTAAACAATAGGGGAAAGAGTAGACATCCTTGTTATGTTCCTGATCTTAAGGGAAAGGCTCTCAGCTTTTCCCCATTAAGAATGATATTTGCTGTGGGCGTCTCATAGATGGTTTTTATATGGTGTCCAGAGCAATCTATACATTCAATGCCATCCTGATCAAAATACCAATGCCATTTTTCAAAGTGCTGGAAAAATTTGTATGGAACCTAAAATTTGTATGCAATCCTAAAATTTGTATGGAACCAGAAAGACCCCGATTCACCAAGGAAATGTTGAAAAAGAAAAAGCAAAGTTGGGGGCATCATGTTGCCTGATTTCAAGCTATACTACAAAGCTGTGATCACCAAGACAGCATGGTAGTGACACAAAAACAGACACATAGATCAATTGAACAGAACAGAGAGCCCAGATATGGACCCTCAAATCTATGGTCAACTAATCTTTGACAAAGCAGGAAAAAATATCCAAAGGTTAAAGACAATTTCTTCGATAAATGGTGCTGGTAAAATTGGACAGCTATATACAGAAGAATGAAACTCAACCATTCTTTTACACCATACACAAAGATAAACTCTGAATGAAAGACCTCAATGTGAGACAGGAATTCATCAAAATCCTAGAGAACAACATAGGCAGTAACCTTTTTGACATCGGCCACAGCAACTTCTTTCAAAACATGTCTTCAAAGTCAAGGGAAACAGAAGCAAAAATGAACACTTGGGACCTCATCAAGATAAAAAGCTTCTGCACAGTAAAGGAAACAGTCAACAAAACTAAGAGATAACCCAGGGAATGGGAGAAGATATTTATAAATGACACTACAGATAGAGGGCTGGTACCCAAGATATATAAAGAACTTCTCAAACTCAACACCCAAAAAACAAATAATCAAGTCAAAAAATGGGCAGAAGACATGAACAGACACTTCTCCAAAGAAGACATACATATGTCTAACAGATACGTGAAAAAATGTTCAACATCATTAGCCATCAGGGATATTTAAATCAAAACCACACTGAGATACGACTTTACCCCAGTTAGAATGGCAAAAATTGACAAAACAAGAAACAACAAATGTTGGCATGGTTGTAGAGAAAGGGAAACTTTTTTTTCTTTTCTTTTCTTTTTTTTTTTTTTTTTTTTTGAAATCCTCTTAACCTGTTGGTGGGAATGCAAGTTGGTACACCCACTTTGAAAAACAGTTTGGAGGTTCCTCAAAAAGTTAAAAATAGAGCTACCCTATAACCCAGCAATTGTACTACTGGCTATTTATCCCAAAGATATGGATGTAGTGAAAAGGGCCATATGCACTCCAAAGTTCATATCAGCAATGACCACAATAGCCAAAGTGTGGAAGTAGCCAAGATGCCCTTCAATAGATGAATGGATAAGGAAGATGTGGTCCATGTATACGATGGAATATTGCTCAGCCATCAGAAAGGATGAATACCAAACATTTGCATCAGCAGGGATGGAACTGAAGGAGATTATGCTAAGTGAAATAAGTCAAACAGAGAAAGACAATTATCATATGGCTTCACTCATTTGTGGAACATAAGGGTTAGTGTGGAGACATTAGGAGAAGGAAGGGAAAAATAAAGGGGCAGAATCAGAGGGGGAGATGAACCATGAGAAACTATGGACTCCAGGAAACAAACTTAGGGTTTTAGAGGGGAGAGGGTTGGGGGTATGGATTAGCCTGGTGATGGATATTAAGGAGGGCACATATTGCATGAACCACTGAGTGTTACACACAAACTATGCATCATGGAACACTACGTCAAAAACTAATGATGTACTGTATGGTGCCCTACATAATAAAAAATATTAAGAAAAAGTAAGTTATTATGAAATTATTGCTAATTTTCTTGGGTATAATTATAGTATTATGGTTATGTGGAGAATATTCCTTGAATTCACAAATATTTGTTGAAGGAGTATTGAAGAATGAAGTGTCATGATGTTTTTATCATATGTTTTAGCAAGAGGATGTATCCATGTGTGGGAATAAATTGAGAAAGGTGTTTTAATGTGGCACTATGTTAACAATTGTGGACTCTTGATGGAGAGTATATGAGTGTTTGCTGTATTTTTCCGAATTCTCTCTATGTTTAAAATGGTAAATAAAAGGTGTCAGAAAAGAAAATAAATATATTAGTTATTAATTTATTAAAGATATATACCCTCATAAATTCCTAGATGTCCAGATGAAATCTTTTTTCCTCTGCACAATCAATCAATCAATCAATAAATAAATAAATAAATAAAATTAAAAAAAAATAAAATAAATGCCAGAGACTATTGTTTAAGGCTTGAGGTGGGGGAAGGAAGATAAAACGTCTTGCAAATAGAGGCTGGATATTTTTTACAGATTTAAATTACTATGGGTATTTTTATTATTCTGATGTTTTAGACTCATAAAAATATTACCTGTTAAAAATGTTATTAGCGTCAGAAAATAAAATGTATCATTCTATCCTTGAAAATCTACACTTAAATCCTGATCCTTTTTCTAAAATAAATGTTTTAGGACACCTGGGTGGCTCAGTGGGTTGGGCCTCTGCCTTTGGCTCAGGTCATGATCTCAGGGTCCTGGAATCAAGTCCCATATCGGGCTCTCTACTCAGCAGGGAGCCTGCTTCCTCCTCTCGCTCTCTGCCTGCTTCTCTGCCTACTTGTAATCTCTGTCAAATAAATAAATAAAATCTTTAAAAATATATAAATAAAATAAAATAAATGTTTTATATCACATATTTGAATTACCCTTTATCTGAAAAATATACTATGACTACAATTTAAAAAAAATAAAGTTACACAATTTAATGACTTAAACTAACCTAAACAATGTGAACATTTAGCTGTGCCACGTTATCCATTTAAACACTGGGGCATTCCTTAGTCTCTTCACCTTGTTTCTTTCATCTCTATTACAGAAATGATAGTAACATCTGTATCAGTCAGTTTTATGAGGGAGCAATGAAGAAAACCAAGTACTTTGGGTAGTCCAGGCCTTAGGAATCATAAGCACTTAGCAAATGACAGCTATTATTAAGGAGAACATATTTCTATAATAACTATATGAAAATAAAATAATAATTTGCTGGAATGATGTTTTTAATAAATTATCACTTATAATTACAAATCTCAATTTCCCAGAGATAAAACTATAAATAACTTAGAGCCTGGTGATAGATAGAGAGATCGATAGATGACAGATAGATTGATAGATAGATAGAGGAAAGACAGATCAATCTTTTTAACCTCAGTGCCCAGCCCAGTTGAGCCAATATTGTACAATGTTGCTTTGACTATAAAGCATAACAATGTTTTCAGCATTTATGGTGAAAATTGAGGATTTATTCTCTGAAATTAAATTGTGGAAGTTAAACGCATGATTGCATTAAATTGATGGTACTACAAACATAAAGTGTCCATTAAAAGGAGACAGGAAGACATTATTATTTTGATACCATATTATTGCTCTATTTTCTTACTTAATTATTTTTGGTTACATAGAATTTTTATTACAAAGTCTTCAGTTAGCCTGTTTTGATATTTCATCTAAAACTAAAGATATTAGCACCCTTAATGCTATGAAGCCATGGGTTTAAGAAAATCACTTAAAGTTCCCATATAAACAAAGGCATTTCCTTGATTTTTGATAATTAGAAATGGATTAAGTTTATGAATTGTTGCCCAATCCTATTTTAAGGTATTATGAAGTATACTGAAGAGGCCATATGACACTTATAACTTGCCTACATCACTAAATGACTAGTAAGTCTAAGAAAGGAAGTGAGGAGTGCTTTTGAAATGTTTGGGACTGATGTACCAAACAGCCATGATTTTCCCAACACCTTCCTTCTTCATCAATTCACCATCAATTATTCATTCCACCTTTACTGGGTAGAGGGGCAGTTCTAGAACTCTGAACACAATAGTGTACAATACACTAATACTCGAGTTCATACCAGCCAGGAGAAAGACATGAGCTTTTTGAAAAACCAAGAATGCTCTGGGGGCATGAAACAGGGAAACTTAATAGAGTCTGGGGCCTCTGGGGAAGTGAGATCACTCATATTGGAAATAAACTCCAGTGTCACTTTTCATTTGTCCTAACAGTGAATGAAAAAGTGTGATTCTTTCCCCGAGGTTT